TTGACGGGACCTTTGGCATCGGCAGGTTTGCCTACGAGCTTGTCCGGGGCCTCGACTGCCCGTACACAGCCACCTACGTGGACCGGCACTACCTGGCAGAGTCAGAGACTCCCAAAACCAACCAAAACTCACTCTGCATTTTTGAGCACGATGCTGCCCTCCCTCTGCGGCGCCACTTCTCCGACTCTCAGTCCTTGTACTACGGTGGGCTGCGGAAAAACACTCTGGTCATCCGTACTGTCTCCACTCTCATCAACTACGACTACATCTGGGACTTCATGTTCCACAGCAGCGGGGCTGTGGAGGTCCGGGTCCATGCCACCGGCTACATCAGCACTTCCTTCCTCCATGGCCGAGGCACCGACTATGGCAACAGGGTTGGGCCCCACACGCTGGGGACGATGCACCTCCACCACATCCACTACAAGGTGGACCTGGATGTCGATGGTAGGTCTGGGCGCCTTTGTGCACAGCCACAGTTCACTGTGGGCTGCAGCTCTGTGCGGGGCACGGAGCTCGAGAGGGTTTTCCCTTCTGCTTCACAGGGCAGCTGAACTCTCTGGAGACCCAGGACATGGGGTATGAGCTTGTGAAAGACCCCTGGACCGTGCAGAACACCATCGAGCGGCCATACCTCCGCAGGGAGAGGCTGGAGAGGGAGGACGAGGCGGCGTTCCCACTCAACGCCCCCATGCCTCGCTACCTCTCCTTTGCCAGCCCGAAGCCCAACAAGTGGGGGCACCCGCGCAGCTACCGCATCCAGATCATCAGCTTCGCCGGGGAGCACCTGCCCACCAGCAGCCCCATGGAGAGGTCCATCAGCTGGGGCAGGGGGGTGCTGGGGCGCGCGGGGTCCCCCCCCGCCTTGTCCCCGGCTGCTCCTGCCTCCCCGCAGGCGGGGGGCTGCTGCCACCCAGCAAGCCTCTGCCGGGCTGGGGGAAGGGTTAAACAGCAAACATGCGTATTTTTTGGCTCTGAAAATCCCTTGAAAAATTGCTTAATGACGTCTGTTCACAATAGTTCACAGGCAGGAATCTGACCCCAGATAAGATTAATTTAGAGCAATCGCCTGTGTTTTTTCCCTGTGAGGGCAACCAGGCGGTTGGACGAACTCCCACAGGAAGCTCTGGCATCCCCAGGTCCTGACATCTTCATGTAAAGACAGAGTGTCTTCTGGGAAATGCTTGGGATAAACACAGAGCCGGCTTACTGCCAGGGAGAAATCTAAGGGCTGACGTCCTGGGGAAGGCTGTAGGAGTTAAAAATGGCTGTGGCTGAAGTGAGTGTGTCGAGCAGCGAGCAGCAGTGTCCGCGCCTGGACATGTCTGTGTTTCCCAGCGGTGCGGGAGCAGCCGCGGGCAGGGACTGACCCCCGCGAGCCCCAAGGTGCCGGGGCTGCTGCCTGTTGCTGCCAGGCTGGTCCGTGCCAGCCCCTTCCCTCCCTGACCCAGGACAGACCACGTCCCCGAGAACATGCTGAGGACAGATCCGGCCCCAGTTTGCCGGTGCGTCCCCAGGCGGTGATGCTGCGTCGCCCTGCCCCACACCGGCACAGACGAGTCCCTCTGCTCCCTGTGATGGCAGGTACCAGCTGGCCGTCACCCGGCGGAAGGAAGAGGAGCCCACCAGCACCAGCATCTACAACCAGAACGACCCCTGGACGCCCACCGTCACCTTTGCCAACTTCATTGACAATGAGACCATCACCAACGAGGTGAGCCGGGGTCCCATGGGTGGAGGGGAGGTAGGCGCCACGGGCACCACCCCGGCTTCTGCCCTGGCCAGAGGCTTCACCCGTCCCATGGCCAAACTGGGCGGCTGCCAGACTGGAAGGGTCCTGACGGGGTTCCCGGCTCCCCTTCTGCCCAGGAGCTGGTCGCCTGGATCTCCGTGGGGTTCCTGCACGTCCCCCACGCCGAAGACGTCCCCAACACGGTGACCGTGGGGAACGGTGTCGGCTTTTT